ACAGACAGCCTCTTCCCAATATGCGTTTTTGCAATTTGCATATATGCAAAAACGCATAAAAACTTGCAGGAAGGCAAAAGTTTATCAAAAAGTTTTCGGAAATAGTACAGTTACTTTCTCCTTTTTCGTTTTCTCCTTCGTTCTCATCTTTCTTGGTTGCGTAGTCACAATTACCTTACTTCATCTGCAATCTTTAAAAATGCTGTGCGATGACCTTTTCCTTTTCCGAGTAACATGTTTTGTAAAATTTCGACGGACTGTACGCATTTCTTTGCACACCTTCGACCGATCGAGTAGAATTTGCTTGGGAATCCACAAAAGGGATACGTCCAAACAAACGCTGAACGGTGTTTCTGATGCCAGTGTTGTCTCTTGCTCGTACTATTAGTCCATCTACTTTTGCCGATTCAAGTATGCTTTCACCGTCACAGTCTTATTTTTCATGTTCGCAGTGTAAAACTGATAACCCTTTTCATACATTTTTTGCATATGTGCAATACAGAAAACGCATACTGACGAGGGATTGTCTGTGTGCGTCTGTGCATCTATGTGCCTGTGTGTGCGTCTGTACCAATTTTTCATCTCAACACCTAAAAAAGCTACAGGGCTGAAACTTCGGGAACTTAATCTACATGCATGTACGGGCCCCCCCCCCCTCCGCAAAATGGGTGCTCTTATCCGCGCAGTTCTCACGTACTGGCCCATGAAAGTTTTTTTCGGGTAAGTTGCTAATCGGGGATGTGGGAAGCTAGAAGACTGAAATTTTAAGGGGATGTTCGCCATCTAAGTAGGTATTAATAAGCTCAAGCGCAGCCTCCGGGTTTGCGCTGTTCCCATGTACGGACCCGTGAAAGTTTTTCATGGGTAAGTTGTTAACTCGTAAACCTGAAAGTTAGAAGACTGTAATTTTAAGGGGTGTTGCTCGTCCACGTAGGTGTTAATGAACCCAAACCCAAACACCAGGTATGCCTAGTTCCTATGTACAGGCCCGTGAATTTTTTTTTGAGGTGAGTTGCTAACTCAGGATATTTCCTAACACTAGCTAAAAACATCTGCAGGAAAAATTGGTGCCGTTAGCAACAAAAACCTGCAAGAAACTGTGCAGAAAACGCATCTTCGCAGCGGCAACCAATGCGCTGGCTGTTTATCTCTTGATAAACGAATTTTTCACGCAATAACACTTTATCTTGCAGTTCAGGAACACATTTTCATGTTCTACATTACCCCTCAGATCAGTTTTATAGTGATGCTATTCATCCCTTAGTCAACAGTGCACTAGCACACTTTTTTCCGTAGCAGTATCCATCATCTCGTTTATTGCTTTCCGTTTGATGCAAGGTCTACAGAGTTGGCCCTGTGACTCCCCAAGTTACCTTTCAAAGACTGCTAGCACAAATTAAATTCGGTTTTACGATGTGCTTAATTTTGGGAAGTTGAGAATAAATCATCCAATTGTTCAGTAACGTTATTTGATTAACAAAAATCTCCGGCTCATTCGCATTTTACTAGCTGTCTTGCTGCGTGTAAGACAACTTTCGGATTTTTTTAGCGTTAGCTTCCTTTAGTAAACAGTACTCCACAAAAAGTGAACCAAGTTAAAGTGTAGTATAAATCAGACCTTGATTAAAGATTAGGCGTTACTCATGCTGTGAATATTTTTATAATTCAGTACAGTCTAAAGTGGTGACCGTGGAAATAGGATTTTTTAACAAATGTTTAAAAACAGGATGATTTTACTTTAATCTTTAACATTGCGGAATGGCTATTTTCAATTTTGGATCATTACTGTGTAGGTGGAAACGTAGTATGGCAAAAACTTTAATATGATTAGTTGGATGATATGATGATATGTGTGATGTGCAAGCATATATCTCTCAATAAACTTGTCAGTCCTAGCTACTAATGTTTGTGCAAGTATTTCCCATTGCAAAAACAAAGTTTGGGTTGAATCATAAACATATTTGCGTACCATACGTTACATTGATTTCAGCGTGGGCCGGACGATTTGTTTGTACCACTTCAGGGGAGCACAAATGGTGGCGCAGGTTTTCTAGCTACTAGCTTGCCCGGAAGCACTCTGGACAACGAAGCCAAGAAGGTAGCTGTTATCGTATATTTCAATTCGTCCAGTTTGCAAAAAAAGAAAAAAAAATGAAACTACTGTTACGAACAAACACAGATTGGTTCCCACTTTCAGGCAAAATTAGACCGGTCGATTAGCCTACTAGCATCAGCCAGTGGCATGGTTTTGCCATCCGCACAACAGCAGATCCTGACGGCTGTAGCGCTTGCCGGTGGTGCTCCACTGCTGCACAGTCCGGCTATCTTTAACCAGACGATAGCCGCCAACAGTAATTTTTATCATACTTTTTTGCATATATGCAAATGTAAAAGCGCATATTAGCAAGAGATGGTCTCTGTGTGTGTCTGTGTGTTCGCACTTTTTGTCACCCACTTCCAACTCGAGAACCAGAAAAGCGAGAAGGCTGAAGCTTCAGAAATATATGCACGCGTGAGCTAAAGATTTCAAATTCAGCCTCTAGTTGTTCGTGGTTCACAAGCACGAATACGTGAAAGATTTGGTGGAAAAATTGCTAACTCGGTAATCAGAAAATCTGGGAGACTGAAATTTTAAGAGGATGTTTCCTGTCCATGCAAAATTCAAAGATTTCAAATTTAGCCTTGAGGTACACTTGTTACTCACGTGCGAGCATGTGAGAGTCTTGGCGGGGAAATTGCTAACTTGGGAACGAGAAAAGCTGGAAGGCTGAAATTTTAGGAGAATATTCCCTGATCAAACACAACTTGAAGATTTTAAATTTAGTCCTCCAGTACGTGTGGTTTTCTTGTACGAGCACTTATATTTTTGGCAGGAAAATTACTGATTAAATAGCTAGGTCATTTTCAAGGAAATTGTTTATTTCCGTTTATGCAAAACTTTACGATGATTTACTCTAGTGGACGCAAAAGTTAGGTGTAAAGCAGCAATCATTCATGCAGATAACGACTTAACCACTTCAAGTTTGGTGCAAAAATACATACCGCACCACATACTTGGTGCTTTCCAGCTTGAGTTAAGATGCTCATATTATTTTTGCAAGTCTTCTGGATCGCTAAGGTGTTCAGCTGAAATTCTCGCGGCTCTCGCAGCAAATTCTCACAGCTAAGGTGCAGACTTTTTGAAGTGCAGTCATACGTCACATACAACGATGTCAGTTCGATAATAAGCCTTAGCTTATACTTGAAAATTTATAACTCCTTATTTTGAATTCCAGCCATATCTAGTAACGACTATAGCAATGAGAGGTACAGCTGGATAGTTCAGATGGGGAGTGAGTGCACTGGAATTGCAGACGAGAAGCTCAGTTTTGTAGATACGTCACTTATGGCTGCTACAACATCGAGCAGTGTTTTAAATGGACAGCAGATCTCTCGTGTGGTGCACTTACGGAACATACCATCGGACATGACAGACCTGGAGTTGGTTCACTTTTGCATGCCGTACGGAAAACTTGTCAACTACCTACTGCTGAAAGGAAGAAACCAGGTTCCTCATCATTCGTTGTGCCTCACTTCTCTGAATTCACTACTAAAAAGCTTCTGATGAAGCGCTTGCTACAGTTTTTTACCGCCAGCCAATTTCTTCAGGGCATTGCGATTTTGGGGATTTGCCAAGTTTTGTCAGAAACATTCAATACTGCGTAAACCGTTTTTTTTTTTTTGCAATTACTTTTAGGGTCGGAAACTTTGTTTCCAGAAATACGCTTTTCTTGGGTTTTGTATTCCTGTAGATGAATTATTTTAGAGAGGCCCATAAAAAATAATTCAAGTGAAATATTTCTAATTGATTTCTCAGGCGTTTGTGGAATATGAGGACGAACAGAGTGCACAGACGCTAGTCACAGTCTCAGCAACATGTCCAGTGGCAATCCGCGACAGGTTACGCTTTTCGTCGATATTTCGTTTTGCACGTTTCTTAGCCAGTTTTGATATCCAAGTACACTGGTGCTTCCGAAAGCTTCTATTTTCTTTATCCTAGGCAGACGTAAAAGTACTGCTAATATCTGATTCATGCGAGAAGTTTGACATATTTTTGGAGTAGATGAACATCTCCTGTGTGAGCGACAAAAGTGCACATACAGTTGAACTGAGGAAATGTCAGGATTATTGAACTGAGCGTGACTGGACAAAAAAAATAAGCATCAGTAGCTGTAGGGAAAGGGAACTGCGAGCTTTCTCAGATTATTGCTACCCTACACTTTTCTTGAATATCTTTCAAAGATTTGTTGCGGCCGCAGTTGAGGATGTGAAATGAGCAGGCGCATTGTACTTTACCGCAAAGTGTTAAAAATGGCCTCGCTCAAATCGTGCCAGATCCCATGTTCGTACTGACCTGAAATGTGACTGAATAAGTACGGCTGTCATAATTTACAGGACAATATTTTGTCAGTTTTCAACTCATCAGGAACTGAAGACAAATCGACGTCCCTATATCACGGCAGTTGGTGGGGGAGCGAACATCGGCGACCGCGACGACTGTGCCGAGGTTTGTTAGCTGTATAGTGCAGTCAGGCAAAGCTAAAAGAAATAACTGATGCTAGCTACCCAGCAGAAGCATTTAGCACTATCCTGGATATACTGGACGACTCAGAACATTTGCCGCGTCCAAACAGAACAAATTTTTCACATGCATGTTTTTTGACTACTGCTTATTTCGCAGTCCTCAGGCGAGTGGAGTTATTCGCCGTCATTTGACACCTAAACAGATAAACTAAACAGTCGTTGTTCACTCACACTACCATCCAGCCGTTATCAAAATACTGTGAATATAGCAGATCTGACCGCCACATATGTAACTTGGGAGTGCGCAAGAACGTAATAGCCAATAGCACTTGCGATATCATAATCTATGACTTAAAAAAAGTCAGAAGGCTAATTGCGGAATGTTGGTGGTAAAAGTGTTTCAGGTCTAGATCAGAATATAATAGAAATAAGCAGTAACACGCATCAAAGGGCTGGCGCTAGCATCGCTTTTTTTTTCTACTATGGGCAACCAGCCTTTAAAATGTATTAGTAGATAATGATCACACGAGAATCTCACATCCTTGGCTTCCCCGTACAGTTGTTACCTGTGAAAATTCATCGACAGTTCCTCGTACATCCGTAACAGGAGTAGCTATGCACAGTCAAACTACTTTAATCATGATATTCCGAAGTGCAAAAGACCCAAAAATCATCAGTTAATTGATATTTCGCTTCGTGCAATGAGCTAAAGTCGCGAAATTTCCAGTTTCCAATTTGTTCTATTTTGAATTTTTACGAGAAAATAAAAATTTAATTTCGCTTTAGACCTGAAGATGCAGCTCAAGAGGAAATAAAATGTGAATACTGACTTCAGGGCATGTGCGGTGTTCACGAAGGAATTTCGAATACCTTTCTCGATTCCCAAGTTTTAAAACTGGTCTAAAGTTGAGCTCGAACTATCAGAGCAAAGAGAATTAATTTCAAGTCTTTTATTTTCTTGATCTACAATTATTCTCTCGTGGATCCAGAATAGAATTATATTGCACGTGCACATATATATATATATATATATATATATATATATTTATGTACATATATGTATATATATTTATGTATATTTGTATACA